TGCTTTATTACATCACATTCTCAAGCCAAAAAATAGTGAGTCTTTGGGCCATTGCAAATGATGGAAAGTAATTAGAGAATAACTAAAACATTAAAATGTTACATACGTATATATGATACTAGTTTTTACTCGCGTGTTGCGCGATGAATTAAGTGCCCAATTTGTTTCAAATACATATGAGCTCTTGTTTTAAATAAGGACAAGGACTATAAGTATCCATCGATCAAGAGTTTAAAATGGTTCGAAATAGTTGCTGATAAGAGATAACTATAAAGAACACGATTATAACACATGTGTGTATATTAGGTGTAAGATCTAATATATAAAGAGGTCTTTTCATGAAAAGCGAGAAGTGATCTAAGTTCTTGATCACTTGAATGAGATGGTATAGAAAAAAAATCGTGTTGGGAACTACTAAACCAAAATGTGCAATACTTAAATAGTAAAGGTACATATACAATATGTAAAGGTACATATTCACCTCCTTAAAAAAGTTACAAAATGATTTCTACACCTCTTAGTTTATTCCAAAACGTGATGCACTTTTGTGTTATTTAAATGCACTTGTTCTCCATAGTTATGCACATTTATAACTTTATTTGTAAAAAAATCATAATATTTACACAATTAAAATGATAAATCAGCCCATCCTGATGTGCAACTACATAATAAGAAACAAAAGTATAGAAACATTTGCAAGGGCGTCCCTAGGGGCGGGGGCTCTAGGCCAAATAAAATGAGAAAAAAAGTTAGGCCTATGTTTAGTTTTTTTATAATAGGTGTGAGTAGGATGATTTTTCGGCTCTAAACTAATAATTTTATAATAGGTGTGGAATTTTTTGAGGTGCTTCTCTATGAATTTTTCATGAAAAATTATGAATATGTTTGTCTATGAAGTTTAGATTATGTCTACAAGATTTCAATTTAAAATACAATCGAGAAGTCCGTTAAATAAATTATTGAAAAAACATTTAGTTTTTACACATACTTTGGCACAATGTTTTTCAAGAATTGATTTAACTGACTTCTTGATTGAATTTTAAACCGAAATTTGTGAACATAATTTAAACTTGATTGAAACATGCTCATAAAATTTTCACAAACAAATTCCGGCCACTGGAAGCATATTAATCTGATTATTTAATTAGTTTAGTAATTGAGTTCATTCAATTTCATTGTAAAAAGAAGATTCATAATAATAGACTAAATTTGTTGAATGACATTGAACCACGCACTAAATTATTGAGAACAAAGCAAATTTAAACATGAACGGAGCAGTTAATGTTTTTACTCATTATATTGTAAACCTTTAATTGAGTTCATTTTAAGGAGAAGATTCATAATAATAGACTAAATTTGTTGAATGATATTGAACCACTAAATTATAAAAAAAAAAAACAAAGCAAATTTAAACATGAACAGAGCAGTTAATGTTTATACTCATTATAGAGCCCGTTTGATAGCACGAAAATCGGCTGTTTTGACGGATTCTGCGGAAGTTTATGAAGTTCTGGCTGAAGTGGCTGCATTGACTGATTTTGCTGATTTAAGGAAAAATTATTTTTAATATATATTTTATTAATAAAATAAAGAAAAAATTATATGTAAAAATAGCTAAAATGGTTATATACAGTAACTTCAGTCAATACTGTTAGAAAACTTCAACCTTACTTTTTCTACTCATTACACAATTCAATGCGTGAAAGCAAAAATTACGTGTTTGATGAAAAGTTGGCTGATAAACACGATAAGCCGAAAAACAATGGTTCCAAACGGCCTCATATTATAAACCCTAAACTTCTTTAATAGAACCATTTAACAACAATATAAATAGAAATATTTATACTCAATTAGGTAGATAGAATGTTCTAGCATAATATTTAGGTACATACGATTATTCATCACACTCAATTATCAAATTTTTGTCATAACATTTTAATACTACGAGCACTTATGTATATTTAAGAAATAATATGTATTTTATGACATACCAGTTCACTAATAGGGATTTTAATTGAATTGCATTGAAATACAAAAAGCCCAAAAACACATCATTTCCCATTAAGCTTCCGTTAATGATATTAAGCTTCCGTTAATGATAAGCAAATGTTTAGATGTTAATTAACGGATTTAAGCAATTTATAATAGATGGTACAATGAGTATAACAAATTGTACAACTATGTGTTGCTTTAGTTTACGCCAACATTTTTTTCATACCTTAAATGCCCTAACCATCATTGGTGTTTATAAGATTTTATAAGATATTTCATTATCTTAAACACCTAAATAAATGAAACGTCATTATATTAAGCACCTAATAAATAAATAAATAAAACGTGAATATAGGAGATGAGTTAATGATGCATGCTAGCTGATGAGTCATCAACACTATTAATTAATTAACGGAAGAAGGGTATTCTATGCTTCCTTAAGATGAAGTACAACTTTTTAGCAAACAGGTACAAAATCGCACATAAGAGATGGACATAATAGAGAGTACTAACCAAGACTCACAACTATAAGCTTTTTAGGCGCTGTAAATCTTATTTGTTGCGAAGTGAATTTTGAATGTTACAATCTCCTTTATTGCACCCAATTTACTTGGACTTGTTTTCAATATTTTCAGTAGCGAGTAATCTTTTTCTTGTCATTCAACGAAAAAAACTTTATTTTAGTTATTAAGTTAATTTGATTCTCTATTTCTTGATCATTTTTTGTTTGTTCGCACTTCGCAACCATTTTGCAGATTGTGGAATTCCATATATCAAGTCAACTGTTATTCTTTCCCTAGTTTTTGTCGAGTTGATTGAGCTTGTAGTGTAACTATAATGTTGGCATAATATCATAAGCTTCACCTAACCGTGAGTGGATTGCAAAGAAATGAAACAAACAACAGTAAGTGCGGTTTGAACGCAAATGAAACATTTGGAAGTGTAGGGATGCATGATTTATATAGGAGAGTGTTTAGAGAGGCTCCCATTCTCTTAATTTATTGAAGAGTTGTCGATTGAATGACACTGTAAAATTAAACAGGCGTGAAGTATATTTGAAATAATTATACTGTCGTAAAGCTAAATTAGATATTTCAATTAATTTTAATTTTTAATATTTAATTTTGTGGCTATGTTTAGTAATTTAGAGACTGTATATAGAATTACTCTTAACAATATCTCTTAAATAATAAAAACAGCCAGAAAAATTAAGACACTTAATTTTCATGAATATTTTTTTAAGACTACAAGTTTTTGATTTAATTTACAAGCAAATTTGACTTGTGATTGTTTATCATTCTCGATATGATTTTTCTTTTTTTATAATGCATGTTTATTTTGGATGATCCATGTATTAATTTGTGAATTCCATTTTATATACACTAAATAACACTTCACACGTTTTCACTTAATTGGAATAGAGTTTTTTATCTGGTTTTATTTGATCCGTTTAAGGATGTTTTTACTTGGACTGTAATTTGCTGGTCTGGTCTGGTCTGTTCTGATCTGGTCTGGTCTGGTCTGAACTGGTCTGGTCTGGTCTGGTAAGGTCTGATTTCTTTGTATTTGTATAACTATCCAAGTCTGGTCTGGTCTGGTCTGGTTTGAACTGGTCTGGTCTGGTCTGAACTGGTCTGGTCTGGGGCAAATTACAGTCCAAGTAAAAACATCCTAAGTTTCGTTTAATACTTTAATCTGAACTAGACAACTAGTGCGGTATAAGTATGTTTTATGTGTATTTTACTTTGTGTGAAATGATTTATCTAAGTGTGATCTGATGCTGAGAACAATACAACTGGAATTTTACTCATTTTAATGGAGTGATTGTTTTGTAATGAGAACATTCTTAATTAACTAAGAATAAGTTTTAGAGCCCGTTTGGTAGCACGAAAATCGGCTAATTTAGTTGAATCTGCTGAAATTTATAAAATTCTGACTGAAGTGGCTGCATTGGCTGATTCTGCTGATTTAAGAAAAAATTATTTTAAAAATATATTTTTTTAACAAAATAAAGGAAAAATTATATGTAAAATAGTTAAAATGATCATCTACAATAACTTCAATCAATATAGTCAGAAAAGTAACTCAAACCTTACTTTTTCTGTTTATTACACAATTCAACACGCGAAAGCAAAAGTTGCGTGTTTGGTGAAAAATGACTGATAAGTCTGATAAGTTGAAAAATAATGTTGCCAAACGGCCTCTTAATTAATTAACCTAATTGCGAAGTTGTTGTTATCTCACTTTCTATTGAATTGTGCAGTACCAACTTTACTACTCTTGTAGATAAAGTAAAAGTGGACAATCCTCAGGACATTTATCACTCAGGACATTTGCCTTCCGACGGATAATCTGAATACACAACTCAAAATCTATCGCAAATCCCAGCAGAACAAAAGAAGACATAGCATGCGGACTAGATCACAATCGAAGCAATTCCCTTGGGCTTAGCTATATTTATTTTTATTTTTAATTTCCTTCTTTCTTTTCCTTGTCATTTCCCTTTTGCATTTTTTTCCTGTTTTCTTTCATATTTTCGCACTATAAACCTCCTTTCATTTCTCAATAAAATTTCCCTTTATTGGAAAAAAAAAAAAAAAAAAAAAGTAAAAGTGGACAATCAAATACTGAGAACTTTAGTCAATGATGTCCTGCGATATATGTTTTCCATCTGCCGATCCTCCCTTTTGTGGTGCGAAGCTTTGTGTCACTCAACATCAACAGCTTTGTGTCTTTTTTTTTGCCATAATTGTAATTTACTTATTTCTATCCTGCAGAATTAAATTCCTTTTTATGAAAATGAAAACTTTATTTTGAGTCAAAACTTGTTTTTGATATAAAATCAAAAAGAAAAATATTTGGTGTATACATTTTAGTGTACACTTTTTGTACACTCGTATGTTTCACGCACACAAAATTGTCTGTTTAAGTTGTCTGTCTAGGTGTACGAAAGATGTACACAAAAAATATGTAGTCCTCCGAAATAGGACCACGTACGGGACCATGAATTAGGTAAGTACTTAGTACCATCACTATTCAATCCTGCTTTGCTGTCATATACTCCGTATTACTATTACAATTACAATTATACGGAGTAATAACGTAATAATATATGTGTACTTCGAAAAAATAATGTACAATTAAACATTTCTGTGCCACCAGCTTTTCTCATCCTTTTTACTGTATGTAGGCCTTTTGCTGTTTCTGGGCCAATTCCATAGAATGCAACGTAACATAAACGGAGTACAACGATTGAGGATAGCCTTAATCTTCACAAACACAATAACCAAATAATCGTAGCAAGAAGTTTTACACTTAAATTAATCTTAACCACATTTTCACATTTCTAACTCAACAAAATAGCGTTTACCAAACAAGTCACAACCCTTAACAACTTCACACTCACTTTGATCAAGTATGGGACAAAATCCCGATACAATAATCTTTAGCAAAACCAATAAAACCACGCCAACAAAGTTATTATTTATTATTACTAGATTTATAATAATGCAAAAGCATACCAACCTTGTAGTTGGGAAGGAAAATCTTATTCTAGCCAAAACCTTATTATCACAATGTACACTTTCAAACTCTATACATATGTAGTGCTCTCTATTTCAACCTGTTACTCAAACCACTCAGCTATGGAGGAGATTGTTAATAAACTAATAAATTGAAAAAAAATCAAAAACCAAAACTTAGATGCACAAAAGATACCTGAATCTAAACTCATATGGTATAATATGGAGAAACTGGGACAATGGCTCATTGTGTCCTCTCTCAAGGCAGCCCAGTGCTTCTTTTCTAAGTTCACTTGGTAATTGAAGGCATATCCAATCAAGCAATGACTCCAAATCCTTGGCAAAATCTAAAAGATACCAATCTAACATCTTTGGAATGGCGACCAACTTCTTTGATCTTGAAATCCCGACCGCTGCCTGCAAATACTCTCTTTTTGCAACTTCTAGCTCTGTTTCAATTCCGGGAGCGGTATATACTCTCACCTTTATAACATAAATAGAGTGTAAAAACTCCAGAATCTGTACTGCTATACAATACATTCAGACTTAACGTGTGCATGGTACACCCAAATGAACTACTTAAGATACAAAATTACTTTGGGTAATAGAAAAGATCAGGTCCTTGAAACCTATAGAATAAGTTTAGGAAGTTCATCTCTTATACGGTGATTGATCTTAATACATAGTGGGTGATATATGGTTAAATTTATTATGTGAGATACTTACAGCAGGTGATGACCAACTTCCACAAGAGAGGGCAAAGGTTACAAGAGGTTCAGAGAACTCCAGTCCAAACATACTGCGTGCTATCATCTCGCCGTTTTTCAGACTCTTGTCAAAGGTCTGGGAGAAAAGATGCACACGCACGGACATGTATATGGTTTGAATTGGGAAAAATTAATGGTCTTGAAGAAATAAAAGATGACACTAAATTGAAAGGACTTACAAATTTTGAGTGATAAGGCAATCTCAAAATGAAATGCTCAATGGTTATAGCATTAAGCAAATGGCCCCCAACATTGATCGTTGCCTTCCATCCAAATAATAATTAAAATTAAAGAATTAGAAATTTGAACGAACATATAAAGTATTGCATTACTCATCACTATGCTAGCTCCAAACAATAGAGATGGATTATTACCTTTTGCATCAATTCTACCACCATTTCAGGACTATCCGGCATTCCATTTTCTAGAAAAGCCTGAAACATCGGACCGAATAATTGTGTCATTGCTCACATCTTTATTTAACCTTTTGAACTTATGGAATGAAATATATGTCTTACATTCATCATGCATGAATTATAGATATTTATCCAGAAGGCAAGCTTCTCCTGGTGCGTGAGACTTTTGAGTTGTACTGACTCAAGCTTGTCAAACAGAAGTCTGCAAAATCACAATAGTGTTCTTAGACAATAAGACATACAAATAATGTTTTAAAAAAATCTGATTCATATCCTTGTTGTAGCTTACTTCAATCTGCGAACTAAAAATACAGAAAGAGTTGACCGGTTTGGATTGAAAGAAGGAGCCTCGACTGCGAATAAATGCTTATATGGGCCGATATCACGTTTTCCGAACTTTAAACGGATACCATATGGGTCTGTAAACCGTGTAGTCATTGAAACATCAGAAATTGTAGTCATTGTTGAAAGTGAAGATATTATGTCCATTGAACTCCTTGTCTTTTTTGAGCTCATCCGGAAGAAAATGCTCAGTAAGCATTTTAAAATACTCTCAGATATCTTGTTTGGGCTATCATCTCCTGAAGTCTTGTCATCTATTTTACTCTGTTGCGGTGGTAACTTTTGAGGATCTGACCCCTTTTCTACTTGCCTGTTATCAATAGGTGGAAATCTCTTTCTCGATGTCCTCACACTTTGAATTTTTACATTTGGTGATTTCGGGCTTTGTTTGGTAGCAATGCATGGTTGATCTTCTTTCACTATACAATCATCTACAACAAGAATGAAGATGAATTAGTTTTTTTGTCAATGGCCTATTGTTTGACATACTCTAAAGGAAAGTTTGTTATAAAATACGGTTGGAGGATTATGCTATACATATTAAGGACTTCGTTCATTCATTTATATTTTATTATAAGTATAAATATTACTAAGCCGTCTCATATCTGTCAAATATAACGATACAACTTTACACATGGGGCAATGTGCTACTCATCTTAGAAGAAGAGATTGACCTTTAAGAATAAAGTTTGATAACTATACCAAGAGTTGAATTGGAAAAAATGGTTAAGCTCTACTATCATATTTTACCGCTTAGTGGTGAGAGCTTGGTTTGCTTGGGTTTGGGAGTTATGAATGAGTCACATTGCTCAGCTGGATTCTCCACATTCCTTGTAGATGATGAAATATAAACTGCTTCATTGTACAGCCCTTTCCTGAAATGTACAACTTGTTCTTCAAGCCGTACAACTTCTTCTTCCAAAACAGCTACTTCGGCTAATAGCTCGAGTGTCTAATGCATTTTTTTATTCAAAATCAACGTAAGTGATAATCCACAGTTCTAAGGAATAAAATTAGGCTTAACTCAACTCCAAGAGCTTTGCTCATCCATTGATATGTTTATTATTATTTATATTAATAAAGCATATGAGACCATCTTCAACATAATCTAAGTTCTCTTATTCACAAAATTAGAAATATGATCACTGCAGAAAGAAGGATAAATACTAACAGAGGATGGAAGATAAGAAGGTAGACGAGGGAGAGCTCCCAGAGGTCTCGTAAACGCCCTCTCAAGAGCTCTGTGAACATTTTCTTCATGCCTCAGTTTCTTTTTCAGCTTATCTACCTACATTTGTTTTTTCCCAAATATTGAGATCATTATATTAGATAAATACTAAAATGCAAATAACAGAAACATATATAAAAAGAGATTGTAAGAGAAAGTATCACACACATCTTGTAACAATTCTATCTTTCGCTCTCTGATTGCTTTTCTCCGGTTTATAGGCGTTTTCTCCGAGTGCATTATTCTCTTATTACTTTGTTGTTCCATGTTTTCCTTCAAGCAAGAATAACACAAGAGAGAATCAGCTTCCAGGAAATTAGGTTAATAGAACTGGATTACAATTTCAGTTCCACTGTAACAGTCATATTTGAGGTTCCATCTTTGTAAAGGTATAATACCTAAAGGGACGCGTGAAATACAAAGAATTCATATCAAAATTGACAAAATTAATTCTACTTGAAGAAAAAGCTTCAACCTTTATGCTAAAAAAGGGAAAATAAGAATCTATGGTTTCTTGTTCGTTTAGCAATTGAAGTCAGACATACCATATGCTAAATTCTCCAACTTTATCCAATTTACAAGAAAAGAATCAATCTTTGGGTCCAACAATTTAACTCAAATGTCTAGTTGCTATCAGATAAAATTATATTTCACAACCGCTTACTTTTTCAAGCTTCATAGAGGCCTTCATAGGTTGCAGGTTGGTCCTGCTTCTGGTATTCATCTTTCCCCAAACAGAAACCCCAAATTGAATCTAATTAACAGAAAATCAAAAACAGACACAAATGGTTGGATTTGAATATAAGCTTAAGTCACGAAAGCTGGAAAATTGGAGCTGAATCAAAAAGACAAAACCTGCACGACCTTCTCTGCTCCCCTTCTGCTATGTTATCTTCATAACTAGAAATAGTACATCCGGTCTTTTCTCAATGAAAGAGAAATTTAACCATTATATACAGAGCAGCCTCCTTATATATATTACAGAGAATTTATCTGGGAGGGAGGAAGGATGAGGATTGGGGAGGGTTAAAGAGAGAAACAGCGGTGAAAATTTATGGGTCTACCAGTATAACTTGTGTTGCATGCTTCTAGTGAGCTGTGGAATGAGTATACATTTATTCATTGTTTATTTCCCTCCAGAAAGAGTGGGGGTGTTTTGGGAAAGGAAGTGTATTTACGAAGCTATAAATAATTTGCGCTGTGAAAAAGCAAAATGCGCACTTTACTGGTAGTGCACGGCGCCAAACAGCCCATCTGAGGGTGTCATCATTCATCAGCGTGCTCTTCATGGTGACCCTACTCCGTACTAATTATAGAAAATAAGCTAAATTGATACGCCTTCGAGAATCGAGAGTAAATCGTTCTTCCCACTTTTTCCATCTTTCTCGATATAATTGTTTTGGTAATTGTTTTATCAGAGTTTAATCTAATTACGAGAGCTATATTTAAAAGAGCAGATAAATTTAGGCAGTGTAAAGTAGTGTTTCATTATTTGGAATTTGGATCCTTTGATAGGAAATATACAGGAAGTATTTATAGACTCTAGGAGCTATTAATTACTTCCTCCGTAACTTTAAAATCTTTCCATTTCAAAAGTAGGTAGATTAAAAATAGTGAAAGATGATATGAATTATTGAAGGTATGATGGGAAAATAGTGGAATAATGTAGTGGAATATAGGACAAATTCAAAAAAAGTAGTTGTAATAGTGTATTATTTTAAGAATTATTGAAGGTATGATGAGAAGATTTAGAAATGAGAAGATTTTTTTGTTACGGACGAAAAAGAAAAGTGTGAAGATTTTTAAGTTACGGAGGGAGTACATTCTAGTCGAATAAGGCTCCTGTAACGTCTTGGACGTTGTGCAATAATTATCTCCTTAGAGCATCTCCAATGCTACAATGTGCACGGTGCACATGTGACATGAGAGAGATAGACACAAAAGATTGATTTTATGACATTTCTCTCTCATTCTTTCCATGATCTTATGTGTTTTTGGTAAGTTTTTCTCTGCAATGTCAAACACAATGTCTAAGATCCTTCAAATAAGGAGATAAATATTTTATTTATTGTTTTTTTATTGGCTATCTCTCATGCCACGTTTGCACTGTTAACGTATTAGCATTGGAGATGCTCTTAAAGTCCATGTTCCTTCCGTTTATTCATGGCTGCTGCCAGATAGCTATGCTCACGTAAGCCCTAGGAATATCTCGTCCTCACTAGAACTCCGCCCAGGCTCGAGGTCTGCTGTCCAACCTGACCTGGTTATCGGTTCCTATTATGAGCCTGATTCCTAATTAGGCATAGGGGCTCATTAATATTAATCCCGTTTATGGCTTGATCCCGTTCATGGGCTAATCATGTTTATAGGCTGATCTCGTTGAGGGCTAATCTCGTTGAGGGCTGATCTCGTTATGGGCTGAATTTGGCAATTGGGCTATGGTTCGAGTCCATGTTACCATCATGAGCCCCTCTACTCCCTAAGGGCTGGATTTTAGAGGAGTAAAATGGAGCGCTTTATTAATTTCAAATTTCGAATGGCGCCGTGTTGCATTAAATGCGAGTAACATGTGCCAGTCCTCACAACTTCCAATCCTGCCGTCCCATCTTCAGCACTCGAGTGCTTTGGAAGCGGTTCCAAAGCGGTTTAAGGCATTAGGGCTTCGCTATAAAAGGTAAAGTCCATCCTCTTAGCAATCCTTCTGTTACTTTACGCATTTTGAACCTTAGGCAAGAAAGCTTCTTTTCTTTGTTTCGTCTTCCCTCTGCATGTCAGTTCCCTTTTATGTCTTCCTCTAGTTCTGTTCCTCTCCATACCATCTTCCCAGACGATACGGCTAACTCTGACCAGCCCAAAATCCCTAGAAACTCACTTTTACCTCTCTGCTGAATTTGCTCGCGCAGTCCCGGCAGTTGCCATCTTTGATTCTGAATTCAACACTATTGTGGCCCTTGCTGGGCCCAGCGTGATTTGCACTCGCCCCAACCCCGTCCAGAACATTGTAGACCCGCCATCTCCCCTTCACTTTGGGGTACATTTGTCGATCCTTGAAATGGGGCTTAGGTTTCCCCTCCATCCGATCAAGCTGTATGTTTTGCTCCATTATGGTCTCATCCCTGGTTAGCTTACCCCCACCACGCATCTTTTCATCGCTAGGTTCATAGCCCGGTGTCTGTCTCTCGGAATCAGGCCAACTGATATGCACTATTTCCTTCCTTTATATAAATGTGGGGAGTGTTGCTAAGATGACAATTAGCTAACATCTTGACATTAGTTATAGTAGGATTTATCTTCTTTAATATTCTTCCTTGAATATTAATTAATTCCTATTCATATTTCATATTAATATTTTGAACATTACTTAAAGGATTAACTAGTTTTGTTTCATATATTAATTATTACTAGAATCGATCGATGAATACGCTTGTTAATTGTTCGATCTTTTCACGGTAGTAAACTTGGATTATTAATGCATGCGTCTCATGGTAAATAATTTAAGGGGAATTAATTAAATTGATTAAACCAATAAACCGCTTGTGTTGAGGTTATCAATCTCAATCGTTTTCATCTTAAGTTTATTGCTATTATCGAGTTAATGTACGGCGCGTGTTCTATATTGACTCGATAGTAAGTTTTATTAATGAACGCGTCTCGTTATTAATAACTACCCTCGATGAACTGGATATACTCCTCGATTGAGTATTCGAGAGGAAGATAGTTAAAGATATAATCGGGATCGACGAACATTTCATTAAGTGGATAAATGCAAAACCAAGTCTTCATCTCTATTAATTAAACTACATAAGTCGTTCATCTTAGTGTTAATTTAATTAAATCAAATCAAACTTAAAACCCCCTTGTTACTACGTATTAATGTTGTATTGTATTTATTATTTTGACAGCACACCACGACAAAGTGCTCGTCAAATTTGGCACCGTTGCCGGAGAAAGGCAATTATTTTTCGTTTTATTTTTGGAAAAATAAAAAAATAAAACATAAATAAATAAAAAAAGTTAACTTTTCTTTTCTGAGCTTACATGAGTATATGGATACCAACATATTATCCCTAGAGAGTCAAATTTTTGTCTTGACTTCTCTAATAAAGGAGTTTATTTTATGTTCAAAATCTCAAGATGTCCAGACTTGCAACATTTGCATGTCTCATGGGCATCTTACAGATTTTTGCCCGAAACTCCAAGAAGAATACTTTCAACAAATTGATTATGTTGGTTCCCAAGAGAAAATATCCCAAAGGAGATATGATCTGTTCTCCAACACATTTAATCCATGTAGGAGAGATCACATGTACTCGAATTCTTATTCTAGCATGTCCACTGAAGACATGGTTCGAGCTCTCACTATCAGCGTGACGAGTATGCAGAGAAATATGCCACAATGTCTGATAGAAACAGTGTCCAACGAACAGAACTTGGAGAATCAACTGAAACCAATGCAAAGCATTGTGAACCACATTGGCGAGGAGGAGGAAGAAGAGGAGCTTACGGAGAAAGCTCAACCAGAGGAGGAGGAACCTCAAAACTCAACTCCACCACCGGCCATTCCTGAGATCATGCCACCATTTCCTGAGGCTCTAAGGGAAACACAAAGGGTGGAGAAGGACAAAGACATCTACAAAATCTTCAGCAATTGTGAGTATCATTTAGATTTCTCTTCGTTCACAAATATACAGGGAATACCGGTGGAGTTACGCAAACATTTCATACTCCCTCTTATACCACCTGGATTAAAACCTCTTCCATTGACCATGCTAAGTAAAAATCATGGACCTTCACTCCCACAATATGAAGCGATAGGAATCCGAATATTTGATCCCGGAAAGATTGTCAAATTAAAGGGTCGACAAATTGAGCCTTTCTATAAGAGTCACCCGGGTGAAAATATGAAAGAGATGGAACATCATGATTCAAGTTTTAAAGATTGAACTAGAGAAGATGGCGTCGTGCCATGACATTAAATAAGGCGCTTTTGGGGAGGCAACCCAAGCGAGGTACGTCATTGTGTTTTTTTAGTTCGCATTTTTATTTTATTTTGAGTGTGGTGAGCGAGGGGTCTAATGGTTTTTGAAAAAAGTGTTAAAAATAAAAGAAAATAAAAAGAAAATGCAGGTTTTATGAAAACCCGATCGGGTACCTATGTAACCCGATCGGGTATGATAAGAAAAAAGTGAAACACAGGCTACAGCGGAAAAGACCCGATCGGGTGTGACCAATACTCGATCGGGTACTTCACAAAAAGCAAGCACCTGAGTTTCACATAAATCGACCGGGTTCCAGTTCGAAATTTCACAAAACCTGATCGGGTTGTACATAAAACCTGGCCGGGTCATATGTATTATTTTCGAAACCAGAGCATTAAACGCATAACCCGACCGGGTCATTACAAAACCCGACCACTTAAAACAGGTTGGGGCAGGAGCTCATTCATCAACTTTACTCCGGCATTCACGACCACAGAGCACCAAGACACCATCTCCCACTTTCTTTTTCACAAACACTCCACCAAAACACCATTTAACTCCACCAAATCATCCCAAAACCTCATTTCTGCACACCAAATCAAGCCAAAACCTTCATTTTCTACATCATCTCCTCACTTTCCTCTACATCTCCTTACCCTCCAAATCCCACACATAAAAAAAACATAATGATATTGTTCTCATCATCTTCATCTTACTCCACTTTCCTCTTACTCCATGTACACTCTCATCCATAAACTCTTGGAAAACCTCACCCCTCTCTCAAACCACAACCTCATATCTTCAAAACAAATGGCAAAAACGAGCACTAGGGACATTGCTCTAGGGGTGGGCACGGTCCGGTCCGGTCCAATATTTGGCCGAACCCGTACCCGTACCGTTACTATTGAAACGGTTCGGTACGGTTCGGTCTCAGACCCAAACCCGTTCGGTACGGTCCATTTTCAAACGGGACGGTACCATGCCATACCAATACCAAACAATGCCACTTTTTCCAGCTGTTTAAGAAAAAATTAAAGTTTAGTCATCCTCTAAAAATCCACACAATTTATCAATTTTCATATATCATACTACCTTCGTTCCAAATTGATTTGCAAAGTCAATCTTTTTTTGGTCAAACAATTTCTTTTTATTCACTTAATTAGAATTTCACTTTTAATTTGGCCTTTATATTCTAATTTGGCCTTTCAAAAAAACTACTCTGTACTTCGTATATTTTAATTTGGATTTTGCAACTTTAGAGAGATTTTAATGTGGTTTCTAAATATGTAAATTTTAATTATTAAAAATTGTATTAGTTATCAAGAACTTAACATTAACTTTGACAAAAAAAAAATGTTGGCTTTGCAAATCAATTTGGGACGGATGAGGTAATTAATATATTTTAGATAAACTATAGTAGTACAAATTTAATAAACCATACTTCGGTCCGGTTCGGTCCGGTACCGGTTCTCATTTTATGAGAACCGGTCATGGCATTGTTTGGAACCGGTTCGGGACAAAAAATTTTGAGATCCGTTTCAAACCCCGTTTATCGGTCCGGTACCATACCGGTCCGGTTCGGTATCATGCCGGATCGGTATTTTTGCCCACCCCTACATTGCTCAGTTTAGCAAGGGGGGGGGGGGGGGGGGAGAAGACTTTTCATCATACATATGGTATTTCTTCTACATTGTACTTTAAAAAACACAAAAAAATGTAAAATAAAAAAAAAGATAAAAAAAATAAAAAGAAGAAATGTCAGTTAGGTTGAAAACTCGAATGGGTAACCTAAGCAACAATGATAAAAACAAAATAATGATGAGTGAGCTTGTGAGGAAAAAGGAAGAAAAAGAGTGGCTAGGATAAAAACCCAAAAACGGGCTCCTAAGGCAAAATGAGAGAATTAAAGGATATCCTGCATGATCCGTTTTTACTCTACGCCAGAGGAATGAAGAAAGACGAAAGGAATGAAGATATTTATTCACATTTGTATTTTGATACTCTTGAGTTATGGTTGTGTGAAACATTTGCTTGAGTCTTTTGCTTGTTAAGACATTCTGAAGCTGGATTTTGATTTTACTCGGGACGAGTAAAAGGCTAACCATGGGGGAGTTTGATATGCACTATTTCCTAGTGCATAAGTTTGTTATTTTAGTATTATTTGATTGTTGTTTTTAATTGTTTAGTTTAGTTTAGTTTGTGATGTACTCTATAGATTCATTTTGTAGGTTTTAATTCGTATTTTTAGTGTGTATTTTGTTGTAAGTACCATAAGGGATACAAGGGAGTATTATAGGCGCCAAAGGAAGACAAGATGAAGGGTGGATATAATTTCTGGTAGCAAACCCGGTCGGGTTGGAATATAACCCGGTCGGGTTGGAACTGACATATGAAGCCAAAAGGAAGTTACTCTCCGAAACCCGGTCGGGTTGGTATAAAACCAGGTCGGGTTGAGTTGAGAAGAACAAAAGAATGTGTCCAAGATCAAGAGAACGTGGAAAATATCCGATTTGATATGTAACCCGGTCGGGTTTTCACCCAGCCCGGTCGGGTTGAATGTGATTCCGGCACCTTCCGAGCAATTAAGGATACCCGATCGGGTAATCTACATACCCGGTCGGATATGAGACCCAGCCACCTCAAAATACCTATAAATACACCCCTTTTCCTTCCCATTTTGATTACCAATTCACATATACTCTTTAGCTCAGTTTAGATTAGTGTTTTGTTTATATTTTCTATCATGTTTAGTCTCCAAATGAGGAGCTAAACTCTTGCATCTTGATTTTGCTACTTTGAAGCTTAATGAATTGTAAGTTGTGAGTTATTTTCTTTAATCTTCTTCCTTGAATATTAATTTTTCCCTTAATACTATCTTTATATTAATTTTGGGGAGTGTTGCTAAGATGACAATTAGTTAACATCTCGACATTAGTTATAGTAGTATTTATTTTCTTTGTATAAATGTTGGGGAGTGTTGCTAAGATGACAATTAGCTAACATCTTGACATTAGTTATAGTAGGATTTATCTTCTTTAATATTCTTCCTTGAATATTAATTAATTCCTATTCATATTTCATATCATATTAATATTTTGAACATTACTAAAAGGATTAACTAGTTTTGTTTCATATATTAATTTTTACTAGAATCGATCGATGAATACGCTTGTTAATCGTTCGATCTTTTCATGGTAGTAAACTTGGATTATTAATGCATGCGTCTCATGGTTAATAATTTAAGGGGAATTAATTATTTTGATTAAACCAATAAACCGTTTGTGTTGAGGTTATCAATCTCAATCGTTTTCAGCTTAAGTTTATTGCTACTATCGGGTTAATATACGACGTGTGTTCTATATTGACTCGGTAGTAAGTTTTATTAATGAACGCGTCCCGTTATTAATATCTACCCTCGATGAACTGGATATACTCCTCGATTGAGTATTCGAGAGGAATATAGTTAAAGATATAACCGGGATCGACGAACATTTGATTAAGTGGATAAATGCAAAACCAAGTCTTCGTCTCTTTTAATTAAACCACATAAGTCATTCATATTAGTGTTAATTTAATTAAATCAAATCAAACTTAAAAACCCCCTTGTTACTATTTTATTTAAAAGAGAAGTATTCCTTTCCCTGTGGATACGAACCTTACTTTGCTATACTACGTATTAGTGTTGCATTGCATTTATTATTTTGACAGCACACCACGACAAAGTGCTCGTCACCAACTCTAGATTTGTTTTTGCATTTCTTCCATTCAGTTCGGTCCGGCGCCTCCGAAGCCCAGGGATTTTTCTCAATTTCCCAAAGGGCTGGACACCATCTTTTTGAGGCTAAATCTTACCCATATTCTTTCCGAAATGGAGGCAAAAATGGGTGTGGGTGACCCTAGCAGATGGCAAACTGCAGTTTGAGAACAAGTGGGGGGTTCTTATCCGGCGGCGGGTTATGCCGATTCTGAACGAGGGAACCGAGTATGCTGCCAACCTTATCGCCGAGGGCTCGCCCTTTTGGATGGGCCATTATGTTAGTGAGGATGGGTTGGTTATGCTTACATTTTCATCAGGTCGGCAACGCCTGATTTTGCACTTGTTGATTTTCCCTTCCTTTTGTTTCGAGGGTTGAGTTTACTAACTGCTTTCTTCTATCTCAGGGGGTGAGAAGATGACTTCCAGGCTTGAGCGGTTGGCTGCAAAGGCTGGCTCAACACCAGGGGCCTTGGTTAGGAAGGTCCAAACCCGAGGTTCCATAGAAGCCGCCCTTGGGAAGTCTGGAGGGGGACCACAAAGAGATGGCACTGCGACTCTTGCAGCGCCGGCTGCAGACCTCCGTCCTCCTTTGAGGAGGGGGCCGGGAAGAGGCTGACATCCAGCCCATCTCCTTGCCGAAAGGGAAGAAGTCCCGAGCTGCGAAGAATCCTGCTCAAGCTGTTATTGAGCTAGACTCTGATTCTGAGAGTCGGCCCTTTGAAGGTGGCAGTCGGGGGGACGCCCCGAGACCTATCCATAAAATCTGTTTGTCTCTCTATGCTGATTCTGCCTCTCTGTTTTGTTAGACAGTCAACCCAGTCTCCTTGGCCTTAGTTATCACTCCTCCGGTGGACGCAGCTAAGGCTGGTAGCCTTTCTCCTCGAGCGTCTCTCTGGCGCGTTGTCCACTGCATCTCTTAGGTAACACTTTCTTTAGTTTCTCTGTTACCTTAGATTTCATCATGATTGTTCATAGCCCTTGCTGTTTCATTCCATAGGCATTTGTGCTAGCCGCCTCCAGCTCACGCCGGTTAGATGGGGAGCAAGAAGAGGCCCAGAGTCACGCCAGTTAACACAAGAAGGTGGTAGCTGACCTGGAGTCATCCCTGGATGCCGCGCTGAGGGAAGCTAAGGAGCTGAGGAGGAAGCTGGATGATGTTGTTACCGGTCACCGGGCCATTGAGGAGGAGCTGAGAAAGAAGGCGGATGTAGCTGGCCCAGATGCGGTCCAAGTTTTCCGGAGCAGTGAAGCTTTCCGAGAGGAGGTGGAGCAGGTAATCCCTGAAGGGGAGGTAAAGCTAGATGAGGAGGGGGCACTTTGCTTCCAGCTTGGCCGATATGGGATGTAAAAGGACATATACGAAGCCCTGCTATTGAAGGACCCCTCCTTTGATGCTCTGCATGGGGCTTGCCTGAATTGATAACCAATCATGAAGTCCCCCAAGACTGTCCCCACCCCGGAAGATCCTCCTTCCTAGACTGGTAACGAAACCTTGACTCTTTGAACACTCTGACTTTAAAACAAACATCTTTATCGGGCCTACATGCTTGTGGCGTTTTCTACCCTCGGGGTGGCTTGTAAACAAACACCCTTACATTTCAGCTTACTTTACCCTGTGTATATATCTATGACCGCTTTATCTGCTTGATGTTGTTTTGCGTCTGATACCTTTAGGAATGTTGAGGTTGTCCAGCCTTAATCCGGGCTGGCTTCTTCATTTGGGATATCTGAATTCTCTGGGAAGATGACCTCTGACCTTGAGCCTGCATAATCTTAGAATGTGGGACGACCTCCAGGTCTTCCTAGATGTTTTCCGGTCAAGGTTGTTTTCCTTGTATGTTTTGACCTTTAATTTCCTAGTTTGTCCTTGTATGTTTTGGTCTTGAATTTCCGGTCAAGGTTGTTTTCCTTAGGCTCTTAATGTTTGAGCCAGATTGGGATAACTCTACCAACTTTAAACCCTTAGGCTCTTAGTGTTTGAGCCAGATTGGGTGGGCTTTTCATTTTAGGTTACTTAGACCTCGTGATAAACCTCTTAATTGACGAGGTATGTGGGTCTCTCTGGTGCAAAGTTAATTCCCTTGTTTCATCTTTAGGCTTGTAAAATCAATCTTAACCTTGAGAAAGGTTGTCTTTTCCGGTTTAAGGAAATATGATTTTGTTTATAAGGCTGTTTAACCTTGAGAAAGGTTGCTTATTCCTGCTCTTGTCTTTGGTAAGACTAGGTTGAGCTTTAGAATTTAGATGAGTCTAGAATTTGTACTTTATCTTTTTTTTGCGAGTACCAATTAGGCATAATAAATCTTAGCTACAAAATGTGTTTTTTTTGCACTGATCGGGGGCCGTCTAATATCATAACAGGTCTTTGCCAACCCATATCAAATCTTAGCTACAAAATGTGTTTTTTTGCACTGATCGGGGGCCGTCTAATAAATTTGGAGATCCTTGTTCAAAACGCAAATTTGAGGCCCCGCTTTAATATAAAAAACTTAAAAGTATTCTCAATCTAAATTCTTATTATACTCAAATCCATTGAATACTCATTAAATAATACAATTAAAGAATTACATGTAGTAATATTTCCCTTTCAAATAATTAATTAATCTCTATATTTTTTTGTTGAGTGTTTCTTTATGAGGGCATTATTATACGGAGCAATGGAGTATGACTTTAGTTGCAACCCATATTCATATACGATAGTATATGCTATTACATTAATTAATTAATGTTAGTGACCTAAAATTAATTAATACTATTAGTCCCATATAAATATTGGGGCCCCATGGAAAGTGGGGCCCTGTTTTGTTTAACTTAATTAACATGCTAAAAGACGGTCCTGACACTGATAACTTCGCAGCCCACCGAGGTTCCCAAGCTTGGATATCCTCCAACCAGACACGGGCCACATCCTCCTCCTCGGCCTCGTTTACGTCTATTTCCCAGCCCAAAACGTCGACAAACCCTCCCATCAACCCCACCTTCGGCCGAATACTTCCAAGGGCAAAGGGTCAAAGGACTTTGTGGAATTCTGCTTCCATATCGAGGATACTCCTCTGAGGGGGACAAATCCCTCGGACTACTACTCTATGGTGCATGGCTCCTGTCGCGCAGGGCCGGTCCTCAGAAAAAGCAGGCCTCGTGTAATAACAAAATTTGGACCTTCCTAATAGCCTACCATAGTTTGATGTGATCTCTAGCCTTACTTATATGATTTGTATTAAATTAGTTGACCGCACTTCCAATTTACATAGCAGCCAAGAAACTGACACATTACTTCCAGGCTCATCCCATCAAAAGTGCTGTCAGACCTGGGAGTTGGAACTTTATTCAGGATGGCCGAGACCGCGAGAGTTGTGAAGTGGTCCATGCTGATCAGCTAATATCAAGTAAGTTTCCAACCTAGAACATCAATCAAAGGTCAAGCTTTGGCAAACTTTTTAGTTGAATGTACTGCCTGGGACATGGCTGAAGAAAGCTGTCACGAAGAGGAAGATTGGTGGACCTCATGACTGATGGATCATCATCAGGGTCCAAAGGTTGCGGAGGAGGGGTGGTCCTCATCACCCCTGAAAGCTTCAAAACCTATCATGCCCTTAGATACATGTTTAACATGTTCAATAATGAAGCGAAATACGAGGCACTATTATCTGGCCTCAGGATAGCAAGACATTTCAAAGCCCAGAAACTAAGGGTAAAAGGTGATTCTAAGTTGGTAATCAAACAACTTAGGGGGGAATACGAAGCCAAGGAAGAACGGATGCAGAAGTACAGGGATACAGCCGTGGAACTTATTAAACAGTTTGAGGAGTCAAATTTGATGTGTGTTCCACGAGCCCTAAACACTAAAACAGATATCTTATCAAAGTTTACAATGGATTTACCTGAACATCTCATGCGCATAGATCGAATACAAGAGCTGGATACGCCTAGCATCGAGGTCGCGAAAGATCTAGAGGTCTTCCCTATCGGACGGGCTCAAAAATCCTGGGTGGAAGAACTAAGGGAGTACGAGGAGGTTGGAACATTGCCTTCCAACGAAGAGAAGGCAAAGCTAATCAAAAGATGAGCTCCAAACTATGTCATTGAGGATGACAAGCTTTACAAAAGAAGCTACAATGACGTGCTACTCAAATGCCTAAGGCCAGAACATGCTCAACAATGTGAGGAACTCCGAACACTTGATGAAATTCTACCTGTAAGTATGTAGTTCCGTTTCATTCTAATACAGTTTGCTTTCTTTCACAAAAGTCCTTTTAAAATAATTGCGAAGGTTTCTTAACCAGCCAAATCGGTACTCGCAAAAAGCCAAAGTTCAAATTCTAGACTCGTTCAAAATTCTAAAGCTCAACTTAGTCTTACCAAAAGATGAGAGCAAAAAGAATAAACGACCTTTTTCAAGGTCAAACAGCCTTATAAACAAAATCAAATTTTCTCAAAGAGGAAAAGATGGCTTTTTTCAAGGCCAAAACTGATTTACAAAGGCTAAAGGATGAATTAAAGGAATTAACTTTGCACCAAAGAGGCCATCAGGCCTCGCCGATTAAAGAGGTTCATCACAAGGCTTAACTGACATAAGGTGAAGAACCCAGCCTATTTTGGTTTTGAAAATAAGAACCTAAGGGTTTAGAATTGGTAAAGTTTTCCAAACTGGTTCAGAAATTAAGAACCTATGGAAAGAAACCTTGAGCGGAAATTCAAGGCCTAAGTTAATAAGGACAAAAGTGATTGAAAATAAACTGGTTGGTCTAGCAAACGTGGTCAGACTTGGAGGTCAACCCAGGGCTCCCAGATCTTTCCCGATCTCCTTTGAAACATAACGTGTTTCCTTCATCATCCTCGAGTTCCAAAACTTTGGAGTAGCAATCAACTCGAGCACGATGCTTCTCAAGCCAAACCATTCCTAGGATTGCATCAAATTCCAACATGCTTAAAGGTACGAAATCACAAGTCAAAGGTTGACCTGTTACTACATCATATATGAAGTAGTTGTATCTCTCCCCAAAAACTACCATTGTGACCAGTCTGGTAATTAGAAGAAAAGCCAGTATGCATTTTGAATTTAAAGTTACATGCTCCGAATATAAAGAAATAACCTTGTTAAAGGTATAAAGCTATACGGTTTTACTATAGCCAAGTGAGAAGTTTAGGTTGAAATAATGTGAGATTATACACGTTGTTCTATGTTTCGAGGACGAAACTTTTATAAGGTGGGAGGGGTTGTAACACCCCGATTTTAGCGATCTAGTTACATTAATCTTTTATTTTATTTCGTCAGTTAAATAAGTTTATTTTATGAATAATGTGATTTATTGTTTGATCATGTGTTGCTCTGGCAGGTAACGTTGACCGGTAAGTTCATAATAATATTTGATCAAAGAAATAAATACTATTTTAATTTTTATATTATATCTTTCAATAAATTATGAAAGAGAGAATATAGTAATTTAGTCGGGTCAAAAACATTTTTTTGTGTTTAGAAGTCTAAGACGCCCCAAATAAGTTATTTTGGCCCGAATCAGTATTTGGAACCCTAGAAAGAAATATGCATATCATTTACCAAGTTCCTAGAGCGGCTAAGTGTTCATCCCTTTACTCCCGTAAGAGTTCTCTCTCCCCCAAACTCGCCGCAAACAAGATCAGAAATCCGTCTCTACTCTGCTTAGCCGACTTTGATAAGTCCGTATTTAGACACACATTTGATGCGTGTTGGGATTGGATTTTGATGGTTTTCCTAGCTTTAAGGTGTTGCAAGTCTCAATTTTAGCTCAAGTTATGTTTACCGGGCGTTGGTTCGAGTTTTGTGTCATTTGGAGTCAAAATCAGGAATTTAGAGTTCGGCACCGGCGCTTGAGGAGCAATCGGGATGATTCGAGATGCATTCGAGAGTGGATTGAGAGATTTGGAGGTCACCGGGAGGTTTACGATGAAGATTTGGTGACAAAAGAGTTCTAGGATTGGCTACGGGATCAAAAGAAGACGAATAGAGCTTGAAAACGGCGAGCAGGATGACCTTCTGTCAATCGTTCAAGCATATCTCCTTGTAGAAACAACCAATGGACACGATTCAAGTTCCATATGAAAGCCAACTTCAAGAGCTACAAATCATATGAAGACACCTTTGCAAGAATCTGAGAGAAAGAAAGCGAAAATAGACGATGAAGTCAGATGATCTTTGCTGCGATTTCAGAATGACACCTTCCACCGTTTTGATCATATCTCTTGATTGGATGATTAAAATCCAATTCGGCAAGTTGGGGTGGATAGAGGACTTCATTATCTACAACTTTAATGAAGGAATTGTTGTCAAATTCGGAAGTTTGATGCACGCCGTGCGTAGGGGAACGCACGATCGTGCGTCTGAGGCGAGAAAGCAAAGAACATACTGCCAGCAACGCACGGCCGTGCGTGGGGGGACGCACGCCGTGCGTTGCCAAATTTCGCGTTTCATTGCTCCGGACGCACTGGGGGACGCACGCCGTGCGTTGCCCCTGGAATCCTAATTTCGCCCAAATTTGTTCTGTTTTTCCTATTTAAATAGCCTGTAAACCCCGTTTTCGAGGGGGAGCTTAGAGAGAGTGCCTAGCACGAATTTTAGAGGGCTTTTCAGCCTTGTTCATCAATCTTTTGGTATTCTTTGTAAGTTCCACCTTTTTAATTAATGACAATTAATTCTATTCTTCCCAATTCTATCGATTCTTCAATTATGAATTGTGATTAGTTTAATTAGGGATTGAGATTGATGAAGGGGTTGATCATGATGTATGGCCAGTTTCTTGATGGATTAATTGCATGAATGCCGTTTAATTTGTGTTTGAATAATTTAACTGATATCTTTTGTAACCTAGAACGCGCGCTAGAATTACAATTGCTTGTAGAATAAATTAAGAGAGATCTAGTTTATTCTAGGACACCTTCACACACACTTAATCGTTCGCTAAGTGATTAGTAGCGATTAAGGGGCCGTAAGCTCGCTCGTATTGGCAATAATTTAGGATCCTGTCGCATGAGAGATCAGCCTGGTCCCCTAAATTATTGTACTCTACGCCGCGAGAGCGGTAAGAACTTAGTAATGATTAGCTAGACTCAATTGAATTAATTTCATGTAATTAGGCCTGGTCTGCCAGAAATCTGGTTACCCCCGGAATCAATCCTTGTTCCCTTCGTCATTAATTAGAGAGAACCCATTTATTTTAATCATTTAGTTGCATTTTTATTTTCCAAACCAACCAATCTCGCACGACGCATTTTTATTTATTTATTTTTAATCGCTGAATTTAATTAATCTTTGATTCCCTTTTGTCCGTTCCTGTGGAGACGATACTCGTACTTACAGCACTATATTACAATCTTTTTAAGTGCGAGAAAACACACATCAGACTTCTTCTCAGAAACTGTTCTGGCCGTGTAAGTCTAATCTCTATCTTCATCGTTCTTATTTTCTTATGGGTGAACAATTGGGTCTATCGATAGTACAAGTTAAGTTTGATAGTATCCTCCGTTGGTTTTGATTTTTGGGTTTAAGTTATTAGATCAAATCTTCCTTTTTGAAACTGCAAGTGTGCTGCTTTCCACTATCAGGCTCCACTTTAGTAAATTAATATACCCAAAAGGATTCTTTTAAATTACTATTGGCTTTTGAATATCCAATTGTTGATAGCTTTTTCCAATTTCTGCAAACATCACCCGTACACCAGCAATTCCAACCGTAAACTATACTTGTTTATATTATTAAAATCTCGTCAAATCAGATTACCTTACTGATAGTGGATGTCATTGCGGGTTTAGCTGTACGTTCTGGCCAATAAGTCTTCAATAAATCTTAGTTTTGATTTTCACTTTCGTAAGCCAAAAAAATAATTGTAGAAGATTGTATTTTTGAAAAAGGGTTGTTTCAGCGGTTGCTAGTTGTCTTTTCATTTGAATATAGTTAACCACACAAAATAGGGAAAAATGGCGAGCTGCATAATGATTTTCTAAGCTAGAGAAGCTTTGTTTCCTTTTTGATCATTTAGTGGATCATGTTAGTTGTGGCTTGGAGCAGGAAATTCAATTGCAAGGGTTCGTTATATATTTTTTTACATAGCTAGATTAATGATGATAGTTTTAGTGGGTTGCTACACATGAGTAGCATATTTTCTCTAGCAGATCATTGTATTTTGAAAATAAGATTCTTATTAGAATTATTATATTTAATTAAAGAGCTTAAGAAGAACTTGCCGGAAGACGTTATCAAGGTGCCACATTTATTTGAGCATTTTGAGTTCAGCTGCTAATAGGTAAGTTCACTACCACCTATACATGTTTGTTCAACCAAATGAAAGAAAGAAGTCTGGTTGATTTTTAATAAATAATTTTAGACTATTTGCTATTATGTGAACTAGGTGGATTCTGTGATGAGGTATTTTATTTGTTGTATTAAGTTATGATTATTATCTGGCATAGTCAAGAGTTTGTTAGTACTTTTATTTTCAAGTTTGATGATGTTTTTTTAATCAAACGTCACATACAAAGAACTAATATTTAAAGTGAAAGATAAAGTGATATGTACTCGGGAACAAGTTCCCTCAGATTAGCAGTTTTCAGTTTCAGATAGTCCGATATGTTTAGTGGGTCATTCCCCTGAGCTGTCGGATTGGCGCCTTTGAGTACATATCACGGGCCCACAGTTAAAATTAGCCACAAAGAGTTTTACAGAAGGTTTAATGAGATCTCTTTCAGAAAGTTTTACAGAAAGTTGTTTTTGAGATCCCTTTCAGAAAGTTTTACAGAGATGTTTTGAGAAAGAAATTTTGAGATCTCTCCAGCAGTTTTGAGAAATTATTTTAGAAAATATTTTCCTTTTGAGATCTCCCTCAGAATGTATTTGAGAAGTTGTGTGTTAGTTATTTGTTCAGTGCATGCTTATAGCCTAAATTTATCTATTGATAAATTGGCATAGACTTCTAGATATTTTTGTGGACCCATAGTGACTTACTAAGCGTAAAGCTTATCAGTGTTCTTTCTTCGCATGTACAGGTACTAAAGGTAAGGCTAAGGCCTAGGAAGATGGTGAAGGAGTGGAATGCGTGCCAAGATGAGTTAACGGGAACGACCTTGGCGGCTTCTAGCTAGATATTATTTTGTTTTCAGTATTTCAGTGTTATAATAAAGTGATAAATATTACTTTATTTTTATTTGAGGATTTGAAGTTCAGTAAATTCCTGGATCTAGGTGGTTATCACATTTGCTAGTGATAACTAGATTTTATTGAGTTTTTACCAAGAGTTATATTTTAGTTATATTTGAGATTTTATCAGAGTTATTTTCTTAAACAAACGGTTGTTATATTGTAGCTATTTTTAAAAGTAGTAAGCTAGTGTAACGATTCCTTTAACCCTGAGAGGGGCGTTACAGATTTCCCCATGGTATTTCCCTTCACTTTCCCAACATGTAGAAGCTATACCCTCAAGCAACCGTGAAGCGACAGTCAACTTCACGTCTGGTGTAATTTGCATGTCTTTCGATGCGTCCTTCACTTTCTTGATCCAATCGGCGACAACGGTAATGTCACCAGTGCCGTCGAAGGACCTACACCCCAAGGTCCTAGCCTCATTGAGGTACTTGGATATTCTTGCACAAAAACCTCCTTCACGCCCACCTTGTGATGCCATTGGACTGGCCCTTGAATCTCCCCGTCTTCCTTGACCCGAACCCCCTTGAGGTACGCCTTGCTTGGCGCCTAAGACCCCTCCTCAATTTCTCCTTTTGATACCACTCTAGCAATTCACCCATTTGGGCTAACTGGGCATCACTCTTATCATTGTCCTCATCGGTGTGCGTGTCACCCCGTCATATGGGGTCTTCTCATGCTCCGTTTCAGGGACGTAGGTTGAGTCATAGTCCTCGGTGTTGGTTTCATACACCGAGCTAACATGTCCATCACTCACAGTTTGAGCCCGATGGCCTCCACGACCTCCTCTTGAGCCACGAGATGTAGCCCGACTAGCCCTTATGGACGCTACCGGTGCTTGCCCCCTCGGGTTGTTCCTCGTTGACATGCACCCACCCTCCATTTCTGAAAAGAAGTTTGGATGAGTCATTAGACTCCTATCAATGTCAATTGACGGAAGAACATCGGAAGAACATTATAGACACATATTGGCCCAAATCACCGCCATACCAATTGTTAAGGGTACCGTCTTAACAATTAGAGACCTTGCAACTTAGGTAACAATAGTTCTATAAGTATTAAAATACAATGCTCATGATTTTCGGTAAAACTCTTTTGTAAAAATAAAAAACAATATAGCATCTCGGTCCTATATGAAAACAAAAAATGCTATAGTCACCCCCAATTAGTACCCCATTTGTACCCCATATAAAAGCCTCCCCATTTTTACCATTTGTTACCCCATCCAAACATCTCTCATCCCACATCCCCCATTTCTTTCTGTTCGCCGCCCCTTTATATTCTCCCACCCCCAATCCCCATTACTTTCTTCTCTTTCCATTTTAAGAGCTCTATAATCTCCATTTTTGAAGTTTTCAAGACCTCCCCATTTAGTTGTCTCTAAATAATAAGGTATGTACTCCATTTCCGATTTTTCTTCATGTCCGTTTTTTTGTTTTTTTATTTTCTCCTTTTTCGATTGTATGTATATTACGTATGATATAACATTGAATAATTGATTAGTTTGTTTCTTTGTAATGATTTTGAGGTGTTAATTAACTAAAATTTTAGTGTAATTTCTCTAGTTCATTTTATGCCCATAACATGTTTGTAGAAATTACTCAATGATTTTTTTGTTGAAATTCAAGACTTCTTTTCCATTTTTTTGTACCTCAGTGTTTAATGAGTATTTTTATGGATTTCCAATTTAATATGATATAGTAATTTTTTATTGAATATTTTATGTTATTATTATGATTTTTTAGGTTTGTAATTGGGTTTTAGATGTTTGGTAAGCTAGTGTTACATGTTTGTATTTCATTTGAGTTGTCTGTAACGACTTCATAAATGTGTGGTGCATGTATTTGTTTTGAACTTGTCATTGATGTGGTTTGAGTTATCATTATGTATTGTTTGTGTTAAATGTTCTAAATGTCTGTCTGTGCTTTATTCGTCTGTTTACTAGGGGTGGGCAAAAATACCGAACCGGCATGATACCGAACCGGACCGGTATGGTACCGGACCGATAAACGGGGTTTGAAACGGATCTCAAATTTTTTTGTCTCGAACCGGACCGAACCAGTTTCAAACAATGCCATGACCGGTTCTCATAAAATGAGAACCGGTACCGGACCGAACCGGACCGAAGTATGGGTTATTAAATTTGTACTACTATAGTTTATCTAAAATATATTAATTACCGCATCCGTCCCAAATTGATTTGCAAAGCCAACATTTTTTGTCAAAGTTAATGTTAAGTTCTTGATAATTAATACAATTTTTAATAATTAAAATTTACATATTTAGAAACCACAATAAAATCTCTCTAAAGTTGCAAAATCCAAATTAAAATATACGAAGTACGGAGTAGTTTTTTTGAAAGGCCAAATTAGAATATAATTAAAAAGTGAAATTCTAATTAAGTGAATAAAAAGAAATTGTTTGACCAAAAAAGATTGACTTTGCAAATCAATTTGGAACGAAGGTAGTATGATATATGAAAATTGATAAATTGTGTGAATTTTTTGGAGGATGGCTAAACTTTAGTTTTTTGTTAAATACCTGGAAAAAGTGGCATTGTTTGGAATTGGTATGGCATGGTACCGTCCCGTTTGAAAATGGACCGTACCGAACGGGTTTGGGTCTAAGACCGAACCGTACCGAACCGTTTCAATAGTAACGGTACGGGTACGGGTTCGGCCAAATATTGGACCGGACCGGACCATGCCCACCCCTACTGTTTACAGATCCGGAGAATGTGGTGTCATGGTCCTATCTTTTGCAGAGAAGCTGCTAGTGGGAAAGTTATTGTTTCTTGACTATGACTACACCAACATGTCGAACAAAAGACTTGAATTTGCTATTGAGTTTTGGCGCTTAAAGAAGGCTGAAGCATAGAGTGTTGGGGAAATGTGTCGGTTTTGAACATGTGATTTTTTGAATGTGTATTTTTTTTACAAACATTACATATTACAGTTGGGGAAATGTGTCGAATATTGTACAATGTTGAAAAATTGGATTGATATTTTAACATGTGTAAGTTTTTGCAAACATTACATGTACAATTATCCAGTTACGTATGTTGATTTTTTGTCTGTCTGGGTATCTTATTGTCTGTATGTGTAAACTTATTGTCTCTGTGTAAAAATAATGTCTGTCAGGGTATGTTATTGTCTGTATGTGTAAACTTAATGTCTCTCTGTGTAAAAATAATGTCTGTCTAGTTAATCTATGTCTGTCTGGATATATGTATTGTCTTTATTTTTTACGAAACATATGCCAAATAGGGTAATTCACAACAAAATAATGTTGTACGTGTATACTTATTGCCTGTATGTGTAAACTTATTCTTTCTCTGTGTAAAAATAATGTCTGTCTGATTATTCTATTGTCTGTCTAGATATATATATATACAAAAATGATCCTGTCCGAACGTTCGGACAGGATCCTCCGTCCGAACATCCCCGTTTGGGGCCCTTCCCGGTGGAAGTTTTTGATGAAATTTTTTGAGCATGTTCCTCATCAAGTCTAGTTTGTCCATACCAAATTTCAGCTCAAAATTCGATCGGGACGGCATTCAAATCATTTTTTGAAGTTGACTGCGGTTTTATATGTATATTTTGACGCAGTCAACTTCAAAAAATGATGTGAATGCCTTCCCGATCGAATTTTGAGCTGAAATTTGGTATGGACAAACTAGACTTGATGAGGAACATGCTCAAAAAATTTCATCAACAAATTCCACCGGGAAGGACCCCAAACGGGGATGTTCGGACGGAGGATCCTGTCCGAACGTTCGGGATAGACAAATGGGGATTTGTCTGGGGATTTGTCTATGTATGTATGTTAAATGTCCCACACCGGAAAAGTTTGGATGAACAAAGTGCTATATTAACACATGGACTACTCCTCCTATCAGGTTGACCTTTTAGGATGGAACCCCGAGTCTTAACATGGTATCAGAGCCAAATCGATCCATGGTGTGTGGCCCCTTATGAATCGTGATGACACGATTATAAAAAAAATGACAATTACGGTCGGATGAAAAAAAACGGACCGATGAAAAAAAATGAATGATGGCACGATCGAGACGAAGTGTCTGATCGTGAGGAGGGGTGTTAAATGTCCCACACCGGAAAAGTTTGGATGAACAAAGTGCTATATTATATTAACACATGGACTACTCCTCCTATCAAGTTGACCTTTTAGGATGGAACCCCGAGTCTTAACAATGTATATAGACAAATCTACATGTCAGGCCGGCCTGACGGGATGCTCCGTCTGGCCGAGCCCTTTTGGGCATCTTCCCGTTGGAATTTTTTGATGAAATTTATTGAGCATGTTCCTCATCAAGTCTTGTTTTACCATACCAAATGTCAGCTCAAAATTCGATCGGGAAGGCATTCAAATCATTTTTTGAAGTTGACTGCAGTTTTATATGTATATTTTGACGCAGTCAACTTCAAAAAATGATTTGAATGCCTTCCCGATCGAATGTTGAGCTGAAATTTGGTATGGACAAACTAGACTTGATGAGGAACATGCCCAAAAAATTTCATCAAAAAATTCCACCGGGAATGTGCCCAAACGGGCTCGGCCGGACGGAGCATCCCGTCAGGCCGGCCTGACAAGAAGACCACTCCTATATATATATATATATATATATATATATATATATATATGTTAGTACCCAATTTTGATAGATTTTGATGATGCCACTATACTCTACTCTAGTACATTATGTCTTAATTAAGTTCGAACATTAGTCTTCAATTATATCTTAAGGGGGGTGTATTCAATATGGATTGTTGTGGACTTTTTTTAATCCATGGACTTTTAAAAAAGTCAGTGGACTTTTAAATCCATAGACTTTTTTATGAATGAATTCTATGGACTTTTAAATCCATGGATAAGTTTATTGACTTTCAAAAAGTCCATAGACTTTTAAATGCGGACCGCCACTGCTGGTCGTCAAAATTTTCACCTAGATTGTCGCTACCGATATGCCTGTGACCTGTCCGCATCCATCACCGGAGTTCCCTGCTGTCGTCATCGGACTGACGCGTCACCAACAAAATGGCTTTGGTTGTGAAAGGGAACTAGGGACAATTAATTATATTAATTAATTATTTAAATTAGGGGTGAATATGTAATATTTATTCCCATT